GCTTTGGAAATTTCCTTCCAGCATGAGGCGGGGTTGAAATGCGAAGAAAAACAATTCCAGAGACCCCCTTGGACGAGCCCTGCAGTTTGTTGAATCCTTGCCAGTTCATAGAACTTCATTGTAGGGTTCACCTTCTTGAAGTAGTTCTATGTATTAACATAAGTCTTCCTTTGAATTGTTCTTCATTTATCAATAAGCTGTTTGAATTGTGGTCCCCCAAATCGGAGTAGGAGATGCCAGATGCAACTTGTGTGTATGTTCTTTCAGATCACCTATCAAGTTATGGTTACCCCATGCATTTTTAAAGTTTTTTCTAGGCAAGGAATACTCATATGTGGTTTGGCCAGTTCCTTCCTCTGAAATAACCTCCTGGTATTCATTTGTGGTCTCCCATCCAAACACTAACCAGAGCTGAACCTGCTTAGCTTCTAAGATCGGTAGGGATCAGGTGACTTTAGAATATTTAATTCGTCAAAATAATGGATTAAAATTGTACTCATCCTCCTCAATACTTATCTCTCAATAATACTAGACTAATAAAATAATTTTAACGAAACACTTGAATTTCCAGTAATTGAATGTGTGACAATGATTGTGGTGAAAAAAGTGCTGCTTTTCCTTTACAAGACGTCCTATTCTTCTCATGTATCATATCTGCATGTAAAATTAAACAGCCCAAAGGTGTGACTTGTTTTAGGACAAAACTATAAGATGACCCCCGACTTTTGAGAAGTAGTCTTATACGCCAGAAAATACAGTATGGCAGCCTATGAATGTGGCCCAACACAAAATCATAAACGTACTTGAATCACTCAAATTTATTTTGTAATTATTTTTGTATTTTGATTATGTAGTTCTCAAGCACAAACTTTGTAGACCAGAATGGAAAGGAATGGAATAATGCTATGTCTACAAAGATCGGAATATTATCCGTAATTCCCATTATACTTGCAAATGGCTCAGCCAGAAGAGAAGCCCCCAGTGGTGCAATGGATTAAACCAGTGGTTCTCAATCTGGGGTCCCCAGATGTTTGTTTATTTATTTATTTATTTATTTATTTATTTTATTATTCGAACTTATATGCCACCACTCCCCTGGGGCTCGGAGCGGCTTACAAGAACAGGCTAAAATCTAACACAATTTAAAAACAATTTAAAACAATTTAAAAACAGCAATATCAAAGATCAAAGGCCTGTCGAAACAGATATGTTTTACATGCCCTGCGGAAAGCTGGTAAGTCCTGCAACGCACGGACTTCAGGTGGCAGAGCATTCCAGAGCGATGGTGCCACTGCTGCAAAGGCTCTGCGTCTGCTTGCTGTTAGACGGAAGGTCTTGACATTTGGAATTTACAACAAATCTTGGTCCTCAGGATGGAGGGATCTCTGGGGTTGGTAGGGGGTGAGGCTGTCCCTCAGGTACATCGGCCCCAGACCATGCAAGGCCTTAAAGGTGAGTACCATCACTTTGAAAGTGATCCGGTGCTCAATTGGTAACCAATGCAGCTGTAGTAAGATTGGTGTTATGTGGCATCTCATCGGAATTCCCGCAAGAAGCCGAGCAGCTGCATTTTGTACCAACTTGAGCTTCCGGATCACCGACAGAGGAAGGCCAATGTAGAGGGCGTTACAGTAGTCCAGTCTTGAGATGACCGTAGCCTGGATCACAGTAGCTAGGTCATCCCTGGACAAGTAGGAGGCCAGCCGTCTAGCCTCCTACTTGTCCAGGGAGATGAAAAAAGGCGGTTCTGCTAACGGCGGAGAGCTGGGCCTCCATCATCAGCAGAAGGTCCAAAAGGACTCCCAGATTCTTTACCAATGATGATGGGCGTAGTGCCTCGCTATCCAGGGTAGGCAGCTGGATATCCCCATTGCCCAGTTGACCCAGCCATAAGATCTTCGTCTTTGCTGGATTCACCCTCAGCCTGCTGGCACGCAGCCATCCAGTAACGGCCTCGAAGCACTGATGGAAATAATCGGGTACAGAGTCTGGTCGGCCTTCCACAAGCTGAGTGTCATCAGCGTACTGGTAACACTCAAGCCCAAAACCTCGAACCAGCTGAGCAAGTGGTCGCATATAAATGGCCTACAACTCCCAGAAATCCTAGCCAGTTTACCAGCTGTTAGGATTTCTGGGAGTTGAAGGCCAAAAACATCTGGGGACCCCAGGTTGAGAACCACTGGATTAAACCCTTGTGCTGGCAGGATTGAAGACTGACAGGTCAGAGGTTCGAATCTGAGGAGAGTGCAGATGAGCTCCCTCTGTCAGCTCCAGTTCCCCATAAGAGAAGCCTCTCACAAGGATGTAAAACGTCCATCGTCCCCTGAGCAACTTCCTTGCAGACGGCCAATTCTCTCACACCAGAAGCAACTTACAGTTTCACAAGTCACTCTTGAATGGAGCAGCGCATAATTAGGATTATTATGCAAGGAGTTTTCTTCTACTTATCTGTGGTGGCATATATCATAAAATTATGCACTTGCTTTGTTTTGACCATTAGCTATTGTTAGTATTAGTGTATTTTGTGTGTGGCCCAATACATTTCTTCTTCCAATGTGGCCCAGGGAAGCCAAAAGGCTGGATAACCTTGCCCTAGAAAATACTGCAAAAAGTTGCCAAAAGCCAGATATGACCTGAAGGCACACACAAAAATTTGGAACATAACATGATGTTACAGGTATTTCCTTATCAGCACTGATTTTCCTTTCTTTGTTGTGATACCTGGATGAGTAGCAGCCCCCTTCAATAAATGAAAAAAGCCAGAGTTAGTAAACAAAGGTGTTGTCCTAGGGATATTTTCTCATTTCTTTCAAGACTGCTTTTTGAACACAACTATTCATCCATCCCATGGGCACTCTTGTTTATACAAAGACTGGAATTCTTTCCAGCTTCCAGCGTCTTTCCTACTGCTCACAAACATCTCCAAATTCCCTTAACTTGCTCAATTCTCTGTGCTGCAGGGATCTTATCAAAACAACCCCAAGAACAATCTCTGCAACACAAACTTCACATGATAAGATGTTTTTTGTTATTGTTCTGGATAAAGTAATTTCCTCAAAACGTCCTCTGTATCTAGGGGGAGTGTGTGGGAAGGAATTCTATTATGCTTGTAATTTCCTCAGTAACTATAGGACTCTACCTACTACTACATGTCCCCCACATCCTGAAGTGGTCAAGTTGAGGTCAGCATGATGATCTACAGAACATCAAAATCAAAGACTGCAGGCCAAATCTGGCCTGCCATGACGTTTATGTGGCCCTCCAGATGATGGCTACAACCCTTGCATTCCTCATCATTAGGCATCATGACAAAACCTGATGGCATCTGTGATGCAGTAACATCTGGAAGGGTGCAGTTTGTTCTGTTTAGTCAGGATAGTGGCATTGGAATCAGTCATTCAATAACATCTTGGGACCCAAACTGGGTAAAAACCGAATTCGGAAGTCCCAGAGTAGTTTGCCATGTTCATTTTCTGTAACATTTTCAGGTTTGTGATCCCACCAGTTCTTTGTCGCAGGCAGATGGTATTTGTGGCACACGTTCAAATGAATCATCTGAGCAATGGTGTTATGCCTCTGCTTGCGGTCTGTCTTCATGAAGTCGAACATGACCCCCCCCCCCATAAGAAATAGTAACTTATAGTTTTGCTAAGGTCAAGGATACCAGACTGGATAATAAGGATTAAGCCTTGGTCAAACTGGTGTGTATCATTTAATCAAGGCTTTATGCCCTATTTTCATATGTTTATAGCAGAGGGTAACCAATTTATTACTGGAAATCATGCCACAAAAGTATTTGACTTTTTTCCATCTGAGACACACCCGAGTTCCTGATGGTCCCCCATCTCACAAACAAGGGACTCTCTTTCCCCTCATGGATATATTTCCCTTTATGGACCTTCCTATGAATAATATGAACTATGGACACTGGAGGAGGGTAGTTGGGTTTACTCTCTGTATTATGATTTCTATATTTTCATATTTTCTCCTGTATTTCTATATTTCCCTTCATGTATCTGACCTTGCCCTGACCCTTTTGCTCCCCCCCCTTCCCCTCTTCTTGAGGAAAATGTATAAGGAAGTTGCCCTGCCTCTGAAAAAGCAATTAGCGATCGTGAAAACCCTTATCTTAGAACATTTCTTGCATGAAAAATAACAAGGGAATATCTTTCTTGACTTCGGAGTCGGGCCATCAAGAGGATAATCATATAACAATGGGGGGGGGGGGGG